GGGCTGGGGGTGTTTTGGCGGTGGCGGGGGTCGGGTAGCCCCGCGGCGGGGGCCCGGGGGTGAAACCCCTACCCCGGCTTGGTCCCCGGGGATCCCCGCGTGACAACCCTTGTCATATCCGAGGGTCATATCTGAACTGTGCGTCGTTCGCACTATGTTGTGCGTTGTTCGCACCATGCTTGAGGGCCATATCTGAACTGTGCGCCTTTCGCACTATGCGTGCGCTGTTCGCACCATGCTTAAGGGCCATCTCTGAGGGCCATATCTGAACTGTGCACCGTTCGCACTATGCTGTGCGCTGTTCGCACCATGCTTGACGGCTACACCTGATTATTTCGCAGTTGGTCACTGCTAGCAGTGTGTGCCGTACTCGAGGGCCATACTTGAGTATTTTGCAATTGTGCGCAGAGAGCACACCGTACCTTAGAACCATGTCTGAGTATTTCCGCAACTGTGCAGAGAACGCAGCATATCATTTATGAGCATTGTGATATTTGCAACGGCCATTTCTGAGCATTGTGCTATTCGCAAAGGCCATTTTTTAACATTGTGCTATTCGCAAGGACCATTTCTGAGCATTGTGCTATTCGCAAGAGCCATTTCACAACACTGTGCCATTGGCAAGAACCATTTCTGAACATAGTGTTATTCGCAACGACCATTTCTGAGCATTGTGCTATTCGCAAGAGCCATTTCAGAACATTGTGCCATTCGCAAGAGCCATTTCTGAACATAGTGCTATTCGCAAGGGTCATTTCTAAGCATTGTGCTATTCGCAAGAGCCATTTCAGAACACTGTGCTATTCGCAAGAGCCATTTATTAACATAGTGCTATTCGCAAGAGCCATTTCAGAACACTGTGTTACTCGCAAGAGACATTTTCTGAACATAGTGCTATTCGCAAGAGTCATTATGCAATTCGCAAGGGCAATTTTGCTATTGGCAATTGTGCGTTGTTGCGCACTATGACAGAACCATTTTGCTATTCGCAACTGTGCGCTGTTGCGCACCATAACCGAGGGCCATTTTCTGTTGTTCGCAACTCTGCGCTGTTGCGCACCATGAGTGATGGTCATACATGACCAATTTCGAACCAGGAGCACCTGTGTCCGTTTCAACTAAGTATTTAGTCTGCACATACTCTGCTGACCAACTCTCATTTGATAACAATAGTGGTCTGGCCCTAAGAGAGGGCCAAGCTTTGCGCGCAGTAATCACTCCATCCTGTTACAAGCAGTAGTATATTGGTCTCAAGCAAAGATTGGATTTTGACCATTAGATTGAGATTTTATATTTTAAGTACGCGCCCGCGCGAGTCCAGACTAGATATCATTTTAAAGTGCGCGCCCGAGCGTGCCCAGACCAGATATCATTTTAAAGTGCGCGCCCGCGCGCGCCCAGACCAGATATTATTTTTGGGTGCTCGCCCATGCGTGCCCGAGATTGGTATCTCAGTTAGAGTGCGCGCCCGTGCGCGCCCAAGCTTGGAATAGCAGTAAGAGTATGTGCCCGTGCGTGCCCAAGCTTGGAATAGCAGTTAGGGTGCGCCCATGCGCGCTCAAGCTTGGCATTGCCGTTAGAGTGCGCGCCCATGTGCGCCTAAGCTTGGCATTGCAGTTACAGTGCGCGCCCGTGTGCGCCCAAGCTTGACATTGTTGTTAGAGTGCGCGCCCATGCGCGCCCTAGCTCGGCATAGCAGTTAGAGTGAGCGCCCATGTGCGCCCGGGCTGAATTTCGTTATTTGAGGGCGCGCCCATGTGCACTTGCGATGGATATGTATGCGCCTAGGCTGCGCCCAGGCTAGATACTGTTGTTTGAGTGCGAACCCTTGTGCGTCCGAGCATAGGATTGCTAACCGAGATGATTTGCCATCACGCTCCCGTTGATCTATTCCTTTGCTGATCAGCAACACCTCATGCACATGATATTTTCCCTCGCACGGGGAGCATTGGCAGTTCAGTCCCTGCACAGATGACCTGGCTCAGTCTAGCCCTAGTACATTCAGCATTTGTGACTGGTCCTTGTGCATGAGATACTTTAATGATCAGTTGTTGTTCAGCCGGGCCCTTCAGGCGGGCCTACTTGAGATTGTTGTTGTTCAGCCGGGCCCTTCAGGCGGGCCTACTTGAGATTATTGTTGTTCAGTTGGGCCCTTTCAGGCGGGCTTTATATTGAGTTACTGTTAAGCCGGGCCCATTCAGGCGGGCCCTATATCGAGTTGCAGTCAGGCCATTCAGACAGGCCTCCACATTGAGTTGCTGATTGCTATCCGGTCAGGCCTTGGAGGGAGTATCTGCATAAGTGAGAGCGTGCATTCCATCCAAGCTGGCCCGACGTTGTGAGACTACCCCTAAGTGGGGTAGATTGATTGAGAGGTTCTTCTACAGATATGTGGGACATCAGAGTTTCACTATCAGGGCTAACGAGTCCTCGACTTCGAGACACACGCTCGTGATCACCTACTCGGTGAAGGGGGCAGAGACAGGAGTGAAGTGCACCGCATACGACAGGATTGCGGATTACATATTTCGCAGGGAGAGCAATTGGAGGGACAACTGGCTGCACGTGGTGTTTCCTCGCGTACCTTCAGATCCTGGGGGTGTGCCCTTCGATTTTGACGGATGCAACCCCAAGCCCCTTAGTGAGCCCCGCAGCAAGGACGACCGGATCCAGAGAGAGATAACCAGGTCCGGAGTCCCAATCACTACATGTGTCCCGAAATCAGAGACAGATGAGTCGGATTTGGAGCCCTGCTCTGTGATTGACCTTGATCTTGGCGATTGTTTCGACTGGGACACTCATAGGGGTTGAGTTTGTGGACAGCGACAAGAGCGCTGGAGACCAGTGTGCGAAGACGTCGGAGGGCGACATTGAGGAGGATCGCACATCTTCTTGCACGGTATCTTCTTGAGGGTGATTGACTCCTACATGTCAGATGACCCTAGGTCTGAGACAGTTATTGGTCCCCCAAGAGGGGAGGGTCCGGTCTGATACCTCGGAGATGGTTATAGTCTTTTGGTCGGGAAATACTTTGTTATGCAGGTTTATCGAAAGCCTCTTTACAGAGATTGCTTTCTCGAGGTTTTCTACATCTACTCTGGTGGGAGAGGACGTATTGAGATATTGATTGGAGCTTAAGGCGATATTATTCTTGCGGAGGAGCTTTATCTCAGGAGCATAGCAGACGAGGAGATGGCTAGATGCATGGCGTATATCTGCAAGATTGATCCAGCAGCGCCTCTCGACATCAGCTACGTGGTTGTAGAGTCGATAGCCACGCGAGTTCTCAATGACAAGGTGCCAGATATGAAGTCCCAGACGACAACACTTATTGACGAGGAGGTACCGGTTATTATCGTTGATTGAGGTTCTCTTTTTTCAGTCACTATTATGTATTACGGCATTATTATTTATTAGTGACTGCAGCCCTCCGATGGCCGCTCCCTGCATACACTGTGTAATACTCTTAAGTCTCGTTTCTCTGGTCATGCTCTTGCAGAGTCTGGTTTCTGGTCTTCTCATTTTGTCAATATCAATTGCTCTATGATGTATGTATGCTTTTCTCCTCCATATGATACACAGGTTACACTCAAGGCAGCTTGAAAGACTCCTGGATGATAGGGACTCCGGTGACCTTGAGTCTATCCTTTATACGGGGTCAGGTGCAGGCGATAAAACCGAACGCCTCACTCTAAGCCGTGTCGCCGCGGGCAGGAGGGATAACCCTGACTACTCGGCTGTATGACTAAGTGTGACTGCCTCTGAATACACCTCAAATTTTAATACCTATCAAAATCCTGCGTGACAGCCTGCTAGTCCTCCAACCCACTGAGCTCGGTCCGGGGAAGGATATCTAACCAAACCCTTAAAGCAGTGGGGGCGCGACAAAAATGATGCCGTTGCTGGGGAACCAAAAATCTTGAGTTTCTGGGAGCGGACCTTGGTCACAATATTCTGTGACTAGGCAGGAGTCTAGCATATATCGTACAAGATCTGGCTCAGGTCAGAAAGACTTTTGGCTAGGGGACCCCCGAGAGGAGGGGCCTCTAGCAGAAGTCTATTTGAAGTGATTCAGACCTGCAAGCAAGGGTTTGGAATTTGTTTTCTGGGCCCTTCGCTTGAGAAGTTCATAAGCCAGAAACGAGATGATGACTGAAGAGTATAATGTCCTAGAAGCCCTAACTCGTGTCACTTGCGGTGGTGTTTTCCCTTACATGTTTATCAATTATATTACTTGTGTGAAACAACGACTGTGCATGTGCTTGTCTCTAGATTCCTTGACACTGATGATTATGATATTCGACCCTACATCCTAGAAGGGGCTGATCAGGACCTTAGTTTCTTTACCAACTGGGATGTCATAGTAGAGTGTGTCAAAGTCGAGAGGGATCAATTGAGACAACAAGGGATAGAAGCGAGTTGGAGCTTACTGCCGAGGATTTTTGAGAGAATTTCTACCCCGCTAGTACCTAAAGGATTCTGTGATGGTAGGAACTGACACCCAATCATCAATGCAGCACTGAGGAGGCAAACCTGGTAGGTAGTCAATGTCAGCAATAACGAAAGCGATAGAGGCGCTGACAAGGATCACGGCTGGGGGTGCCTTCTCATACGTCATTGAGAGGTGTGTGACTTGTGAGCACGACTCAGTGATCTTGTACGTCCTTGTACCTCGGTTTCTTGATACGGATGACTATGATGTGAGGCCGTATGTATCTGCTGAGACAAGGAGAGGGATCGATTACGAGGCATGTTGGATAGCTGCTGCAAAGTATGTCCTGGATGAAAGGCTGTTGTTGAGACAACAAGGGAAGAAAGTGACTTGGAGTGTCCTGCCTAGAGAGTTTGAGAGATTCCCAAGTCCGCCTGTGCCCGCTAGCTTCTGCGACGGGAAGGACTGGGGACCAATTCGCAACGCGCTACCTAGGGACCGAGTGTGGTGAACCATGCCATGAGATGTCTACACTCCTGATGACAGAGAGAGCTTCTGCTTCAAGGTCTATCTAGATGAGCAACGAGCGACTGTCATCGAGGCCGTGAGAGGATGCGACACTAGAGTGGGTAGTCGTGATGAGATTGGCATGGTAGAGCACTATCTTCAGCTTATGCGGGCGGCTGTTTTTAGAGCAATTACGGATTAGACTAAGATTAGGCATTTGCTGGATTGCAAGAGTTCGGATGGCAGAATAGTGATGTTGCATGCGAGAGATGAGACCATCCTATCTAGATAGCGTCCTACGGACAGTCTGGCTAGAGGCACTAGAAGCAGCCCAAGGCAATGATATTGGAATGTGAAAACTCTAAGTCAATTGCGACTGTGACCATTGGTAGAGGATGGTTGGATAAAGTAACTAAGACTGATAGCCCTTTCGAGATATTGAGACACGACGTCCGTAAGGAAGGGCGTTTAGTATTTTATGTTCCAGTGGTCAGATTTATCAAGACGCACTAGCTTGACGTGAGGGTTTATGCTCAGGAAGGAATAAAAGAGAAAGAAGGTTATTTAGAGTGTCTGAGGAGAGTGTACATTCATCTCTCGAGGGTAAGGGAGCTACTTCGAAGCTTGCATGAGAAAGTGACTTGGGGGAAACGAGTAAGACAATTCGAAAGACTCCCTAGTTTCCTGACTACGGATAACTTCACTGACAGGAGAGACTGAACGCCTCTTCTAGAAGCTATTGCTGTGGTTGGTAAAGCAAGAGAAAATGACTCGGTTCGAAGTTCAAGACGAAGCTTCTCTTGAATTTTCGCTCACCTGACAATGGAAAGGATCCTGTTATGGCTGAGGAGAATGTTGGTTTTCTAGGAAGCAGACATATTTGGGAGAAGGCTGAAGGAAGGGTATTATCTGATATTAATTCTTCGGTCATCTCGCGCCTACTCCGGGATTTGGAACCCTTCACGCTAGGAGGGGCGTTTCCTTATAAGATTGAGAGATACACTGTCTTAGCCATACCTGAGGCAGAAAAAAAAGTGTATGTGTTAGTAACTCGCTTCCTAGAGACCAATGAATATGACGTGCGTATATACACTCAAGTGACTAGGAAAATTTGGCGGCGGTATACTGGGTGTCACGGGTGGGCACTTAGTCACATCTATAAATACAAAAACGAACTCAAGAAGGAATGTAAGAAAGTTACCTGGAGTGTGGAGCCTACTAAGTATGAAGGTTTCCCAAGTCTTCCTATTCCAAATAGTTTTGTCAATGGTGAGAACTGGGAGTCGATCCTTAATACTGTCTTAAGAGATAGAAAGTGGAGCAGTGTCTCTATTGAGTATTCTAGTTAAAATACTTAGTAGGGACTAGAAAAGATTAGACGTATCGAAGAGACATGGGGGTCGCTAGGGACTAGGCAATGTATGGTTACTGTCCGGCAGTCACGGCAGCACTAGACGCCCTAGTTCCTTTTACCAGTGGATGAGCTTTCCCGTACAAGATAGAACATTGTATATCCCTGGATGAGAAACACGCACCTGGGCAGGCGTATATCCTTGTAGTGAAGTTCCTTGACACCGGTGAGTACGATATTCGACCCTATGTTCCCTCATTAAGAAAGAGAGGGACAAATCGCAAATCTTTTCGAAGCTGGATTAGTAATACAATTGATCAAGAAAAAAGAGAGTTAGAAAGAAAAGGTGCCCTTTACTAGAGAACGAACTCGAAGAATGAATTATCAAGAAGAATGCCAATGAGCACGTCTGTGATGCCAATTGGAACAAGATAGATTTCCAAGTCAAAGGAGGGATGCGAGCAGTTATCGTAGAACAGGCTAGGACCAATAAGGATAAAAAGAAGAAGGCTAGAGTTAATGTTATTACCTTTGATGGTATAATACCTCCGGAGATAGTGGCCCGAGACGACAATCCCGGAAGTCAAAGTCTGAATGTATTCCATATCAGCCAGAAAGAGGTCGATGAGACAAAGCGAGAGAAGACTCAAAGAGAGCTAGACCAACTGATAGATGGGACCAAGGACCTAGTGAAGGAAGGGAAAGGAAAGGACGTTGTCGGGAAGAAAAGAAGGGTGGTCCTTAGATCCGAGCCCGAGGAAGGGATCTCGATAGATGAAGTAGCAAAGAAATTGCTCGAGGAGACCGAGATCACACTATCCAAGAAAGAAGCAGTAGCTTTGGTACCTAAGTTTAGGGAAGAACTTAAAAAGATGGTTGAAAGGCGGAAGGTAGAAATCAATAGCCTAAGACTCTTTCCTCAGCATGTGAAAAGACCCCCGCCTGGTACCAAGATGAGGTTTGGTAACATGTCGTGTGGATACTTGAATATCTCTGTGAATGACGTGAAGGATAGAGCCCTAGTGGACTCTGGGGCCGAGATGGTGCTTATGTCCTCGGCCATGATGAGATTATGTGGGCTTGGAATACATAGGAAGACCAATCATCAGCTTTCCAATATAGCCGGGTTTCTGCCTTTGGAAGGTTTTATTGATGATTTGTCTATTTGAATTGGGAGTTTACAGGCCGAGATCCTCTGTTTTGTGGTCCCCAAGTTGGATCAAGATTGCATTCTCGGAGCCCCTTCCCTACATAGAATGGAGGCTTGTGCGTTCTTTGGCCATGATGGGGCAGCCTGACTTTCTCTTCAGGATCCTAACAATGGTCAAGAACAGACTTTTGTGATAAGTGATAGGCATCATCCTCGCAATCAGCGACATGTTAGCTCTCTTAAGCATGAAGAATTTGATAAGCTGGTTGAGGAAGTACGGACGAAACTGAAAGAGAGTGGAATAATAGACGAAAAGACAACGATTAGAGTAAATGATATCGGAAGGATGCTCAAGCTCCTGGATAAAGAGAAGGAGCTGGACGATAAGAGAGAGATGGAAGGATTCAAAGATGCTGTGAGGGCAGTCAAAGCTGGCACGATGCAACTCAGCTTCTCTGCGACTGGTCTTTTTTTAGGAAAATAGTCACCGGATCTAAGAGGAAGTATAAGCGCAAGGGCATTAAGAAGAATCTGGTGACAATTTTGATGGAGAAAGATTACAATGAGGCATTAGAGAAGGAGAGAAAGATAATTAAAAGATTAAGGGAGACTGCATTAAATCGAGGGAGAATTACCCCAGATAGGTTCAAAATAATGAAGGTAGGAACCGATGACTTCCTTCTGCCGGCTGAGAGGGATTTCATATATGAATTATGTCAGAAGAACAGTGGTGCATTTTTTTTTAATGATGAGGAAAGGGGACGACTGGACGTTGACATGATCAAGATGGTCAAGATCTGGACCGTTCCTCACACGCCTTGGAATGACAGACCCACGAAATATGCCCAAAAGGAAGAAAAAAAGGTAATGAAGTACATAAACCAGAAAATCGCCTCCAACGTTGCGAAACCGGCTGATGGAGCTTACATCAATCACTGGTTTTGTTTTTGGAAGCCAGGTGGCGGCCTGCGCTGGATACAGAACTTGCAAAAGTTGAATTCGATAACGGTTCGCGATGCGGGTAGTTTGCCCAACGTGAATCTGTTGGCCGAGTCTTTTGCCGGAAGGAGCATCTACTCCGTAATAGACCTATACTCTGGCTATGACCAATTCCCGATAATTCCTACTAGTCGACCTATGACCGTCATGCATACACCTAAAGGCCTTAAACAAATGTGTGTGGTGCCTCAAGGGTGGACGAATGGGGTCGCGGTCGTCCAACGAGACATACTGAAGGTCATGGATGACATATGCCCAGAGGTTACGTTCCCATACATTGATGACAATCCAGTTAAAGGACCGAAGGAAAAGGATGAGACTTTAGTGGATGGTCGAGTCACACAGTTCGTATGGGAACATGCGCAGGGAGTAGCGAAAGTACTAAAAAAGTTGATTAGTACAATCTCACAGCCAGCGGACCGAAATCACTACTGTTCCAAATGGGCGTAACGATCTTGGGTTTTAGGTGCTTCTTGGAAGAAAGAAATCGTAATCCTAAGAAAGTGGATAAACTCCTGAACTGGCCGATGCCTCTAGAAACGGTTAGGGAAGTACGGAGCTTCCTAGCGGTCTGCAGCTTCTGGCGGATCTTCATCCCCGGGTTCGCCAAGATAGTCGAACCCCGTAGAGAAATGGTGCGACAAGGAGCCAGCTTAGAGTGGTCTGACCAAAGAGAGATGGTTGCGCGGGCACTTCAAGATAAGTTAAGAGATGGCGGGGTCGTATTAGGAGTACCATACATCGACGATGAAAGGGAGAGGCCCTTCATCATCGAAGTCGATGGCGGCCCGATAGCATTTGGAGGGGTGCTCGTGCAGCGAGATGAGAATGGTCGATCCTCCACTGTCTCAAGGTGTTTAGACACTATGTTATGGGGCGGAGATTCATTCTAAATACGGATTCCACAGCGATAATCGAAGTTGTTAAGAGGCATCAACAAGTAGATGCTACGGTCAGTAGACGGTCAGTAGGTGGATAACTCACATATGGACGTATGATTTGGTATTAGAGAATTTACCTACTGAAAAGAATCGAGCCGATGGGCTGAGCCACGTAGAATGGGGATCAATAGATGATGAATCTCTTGAGAAGACACCCTTCGTTGGCGAATTCCTTATGGAAGACGATGATGAAGGACTACCTCCAGTTATATAGCCTCGACCATAGCAACGAGCAGGGAAGACTGTTGGAGGGAAAAGGAAGACCCTTACCTCCACTACCTCATAACTCGAGAGGGTGAAGAGGAAGGATGGTATGGGATGGTAGAACAAACTGCTGATGCAGCCCATGAGCTGGCAGAGAGTTCAAGGATGGTTGAGCGAAGGTTGAATGGGATAGAGGAATAGTCGAAAAACCCTGAGCAAGATAAGGACGCTGAGGAGAGGTTTAAGAAGAATGAGTACGATGGGGAATATAAGAGGATCGGTATGGTAATGAGCAGTAATCAGTTGGACGAATTCTATCATGAGAGAACAAAGAGAACCTTTAGGCTGCGTAGGGGTCACCTTTTYRTGGATGCTAAGGAAGGACTACYGCCACTGAGAGTARTGTGTGGTAAGGAAAGGCAACTAGAGGTGATCGCCKYACTGCATGAGGGTCTAGCAGGGGGYCATAGGGGTGCTGATGCTACATACTAYAAAGTATCTCGACTATATCACTGGGATGGTCTAAGGGATATGGTTATGAGATATTGTAAGTCATATGAGGCCTGTCAGAAAAGGTCATCTATGATATTGATTGAACCCTTATACCCCACTTTTCTTGTTGAACCTAGCAGTACTAATCACCTTGATCTAATTACTATGCCACCTGGTAAGGATGGAATAAAATATGTACTAAACATGAGAGATAACATGTCTGGTTATGTTGAAGCAAAAGTCATTCGTAAGAAAACTGCAAAGAGAGTGGCAGATTGGATCGAGGAAATCCACTTGAGGTACCCCTTCATACGTGAGTTTGTGGCTGACCAGGGATCAGAGTTCAAGAACGAGATGGTCAGGAGACTCACGTTCAGACTTATAATTCGGATTTCTGTTTTCTGCCGGTATGCTGTCTATTTGAGTTCCGATTGAGAAATACTAATCCGATAATTGATTAAGTTTCGGATTTCTAATGTTACACGAATTAGGGTTGAATCAGTATCATGTTGAAATTCGGCGTTTCTGATTTCCATTCAGCATTCTGTTTTTCGGCATTTTGTTGTAAATCCTATATTTCGCTTTTTTTTGGATTTCCGTTGTCTTTCAGTATTGGAAATTAGGGTTACGAAAATCTTTGGGTTTTAGATCAACTTGGGRAAATTCGAACGTTTTGGGACCGTAAATCTGAAAATTTCGCGGAAACGCGAAAAATTACGGTTGGGACCGAAATTTTCGCGAAATTTTTTTTTCCGTTCCCCTTGTTTGAGAAATTCCGAAAACAGGTTTAGGCTTTTAAAAATCGGATTTTGACGGTGGAAATTTTCGAAAATTCACGTTTTTGAAAATTCGATCAATTTTTCTTCTGAAATTTTTCGAAATTTTTTAACAAACTAAGCCGTATCTGACCCTCAAACTGCAACTTCCGGGTAATTCACTCATTAACGGTGAACTCCCGGACTCAAAGTGATCTCAAAGAGACCTAATCATAATACCTTTTCAAATTCGTTAGTATCATGATTGCAATTATTGTTTATTAATTATCTTTATTGCAAATAATGATTATTGGTTATCTTTATTACAAACATTGTTTTATTGATCATCATTAGGAGTATTTCGTTATATATCATTGAATCGTTATTAATTCCTTATTACGAATTTTTGAATGGTTTACGAAAAATTTATTTCTCTGTTTGATTAGGTGTCTACAGTTCATCAGTGGGACAGGGAACTGTATGCGTATGGTTTGATTGTTCTACCCCTGTTCCCACTCTCCCCCTACCCTCCCCGTATTCTGTGACCACCGGGACCTCTCAAGTTCCGCATCAGTACACACTGATGTCGATGGAACAGGAAGCGCAGTGCCAGGCTCGCAGTTCGTGCTCGACCTACGGTACCTCCATGAACCAAGGCTCAGCAACAGAGGCTCAGCAGGCTGACGACTCCAGCGGCATCGAGTACAACATTGACGGTACCGATCACCACCGGAGTTCTTCCCGCATGCCCGGTCCGAAAGGCCAGTGAGCCGTTGGCTGACTATTTTGAGCGGCTACAGGTATTTACAGATACCGTAGCTGCCGCCAAGGCTCAGCAAGAGGCAGCAGAGGCAGAACGTCAACGGCTCGCCAAGGAGGCGGCAGCCCAAGCTCAGCAGACTGCTGAGGCTGATGCAGCGGCACGAGACCAACGGAATGCCGCCAGTACGGAGTCCCTGATTCACAGTGAAAGTCAGTGGAGAACGTTCCTCCAAGGCATGATCTTTGTGCCTTCGGAGGCGCAGGCAGATCCGACACTGGTGGAGGCAGAAAGGACTCACCTGGATAACTTGATGCTGGGCATGATGAGAGGCATCATGTGGAATAACACACTGCTGCAGGCACATCTGCGCACGGAACGACAGCAGCGACAAAAGTACCAGCAAGACATTGTTGTTTTAACAACTGCCATCCGCGCCGAAGCAACGCAGCAACAGCAACAACATCAGCTTTTGAACTCCGCTCTCGCACGCATCAACAGCATTGAGGCTAACGCCTCAGCAGCGCCAGGCTGCACGACAGACGCGACGAAGCAACTTAATGAGCGCATCGATCACGTCGTCACCATCATCGGCGACATAGGTGTTTTCAATGGGCCGGACACAATCAGTAGCACGGTGGACGTCATCAAGACGGACATCACCAAGCTGCAGACGAGACCGGACGCCGCTACAAAGACTTACAAGATGCCGCACTTCGACATCAGCAAGTTCGACGACTACAACAAGTCGGACGCCTTGACATGGTGGCAACGTTTCCTCACGGAAGCATCATGCCGCATTGTCCCGGCAGACGACATGATGAAGGCACTCAACTTGCAACTAATTGGAGGAGCGCAGGCTTGGATGAACCATCTGGCGGCTACCAACAAATGCACCATCGCCGACCTCCACACGCACATCACGTGGAATGAGTTCGAGAAGCTATGGTTCACCCGGTTCATGGTCCGCAACGTCGTGAAGGCGGTCATGAACGAGATGTACACCTGCTCTCAAGGAAATATGCCAACTCGAGACTGGACAACCAAGTGGCAGAAGATAGTGACCACACCAGGATTCGATTTGAGTTTTCCAAATCAACGATCCGAGTTCTTCTCGCGATCGTGCGCGGAACTGCGGTCGGCACTCGGCAACGAGTACGACTATGACACGTTCCAGGCCATTCTGGATCGTGCGAACTTAGTCATCCAAACGGATGACAAGGCTGCAAACGAACGACAGTCCCAACCGCATTATGTGGCTAAGCAGGGCTATCAACGTCCGACACATAACAATGCCGTGATTTCTGAAGAAACAGACGATCTCCACGCTACARCAKCATCCTCGAGTGATGGAGGAATTGTAGCAGCGCTCCCGCCGAAGYGTCCCAAGAGAGTTCGGAAGAACAAGGCGAYACAAGAGACARCAKCGACGGGARCTGGGCAGCAGCCATGGACGGCTTACAAGATAACCAAGGATGTCTATGACCTTCGTCAAAAGTGCGGATACTGCCTCTGGTGCAACGGCGTCACTCATGTGACCGCACAATGCCTCGAAAAGGGCAAGGCAGGCATACCCCGTCCAGCAAACTCGGAAAACTGAGTTACGCAAGGAGAGGGGCGACGTCTCTCCTCACTCCGCCGGACCCGGTTGCCTTGCTAGCAATCGATGTCACTACCGGGGAGCATGCGTTAGTCGCTGATTCTCGTGC